CATCAGATCTCGTTTGCTGGTTGATTTTCCACAACAGAAGTTTCTCTTCTTGGCTGTATTACACCTCTCCATGTTGTAAACAGTAACAGATTTTGGCGCTTTGCAGAAAATAAGCTCTGTGGCTAACAAATGTTTATAATAGCCTACTTACATTTTCTGTTCAGCAAGATAATCTTCACAAATGAACACTACCTTTATGATTACTGAAGCCTAAATGCAATCGCCAGAAGTAAAAAGCTAACGTTAGGCTATAAACAAACTACACCACAATCGCATGTGTTAACGTCACCCCCATAGCATGGCTGTAAAGCTGGAGTCTCATTTAGCCACTTGTTAGCAATTGTCACATTGAAGCTTCAAAATAAACAAGTGGGGTATTTACTGGTGTATTTTATCCAACTTATTCCTAGCCCCCATGGTAAACATCTGCTCCTTAGATGATTTCTGATTTCTGATCACTTATTAAGAGATACTAACACATTCGGCAAACATTTAAAATAATTCAGTATTAACTTTAGCTCCATGTCAAGTGAATAAAAGTGATGTTTTCTAGCTTTTTAGAAAATGCTAAATTAAAATTTGTTAAATTTTTGTTAAAAAAATAAATCAGTATTTGCTAAACTGAAGACAAATTACTTTTGAAAAGAAGAAGAGAGTAGCCACTGGGACTAACCACAGTCAGTCAGTGGGACTAACTATCTTACTGCTACTTCCGCTATCTCACTGGAAGTTGCGCCCATAATCATTTTTACAGTACTGCTGCCCTCAGGAATAAGGTGGATAGGCGCCTTTCAAAGCACTCAAGGACACCTTACAAGACAGTTAAAAAACAAGCAGCAATGTATCCATAGATCATAAAGTCAAACAATTCTGGAAAATACAATAATAATTCGGTCCAAGTTTCGATATGTGTGTCACCATTAAAGCAGACTGAGTATGCCAGCTTGAAAAGGTGTGTTTTCAGACGGGATTTGAAAGTGGAGAGGGAGTAAATATTGCGAATGTAATGGGGGAGAGAGTTCCAGAGGCAGGGAGCAGAACTGCTGAAGGCTCTAGAACCCATGGTAGTCAAGTGGGCAAATGGTGATGAGAGTTGGAAGAGGATTTAAGAGTACGGAAGGGTATATGAAGGAGTTCAGACAGGTAGGAAGGGGCTTGATTATGAAGGGCCCTGTTAAAATTGAGAGCGACTTTGCAAACACAGTGTGAAACAATCACTGATCATGAAGAATATAGTGATGTTGCACATCAAATTAAACAGTAGAACCTGGACTACAAGGTTATATAAACCCTGTTTACATGCCCCAAACACAGCTCAAACAACAATTAAATAAATAACAACAAATCAAACTCCATACAGCACCGATATCTTGACCCACTTGGTATATTTCGGGCTCTAACTCGACGCCACGTTATGCAAAACATAAGCCATTTATCTCAAATGAAAGCTGAGTCTCCGCTGTTTCCACACATATCCGCCAAAGCACGTTACACCAAAGCATCAGAGAGATAGAGGCCAAAGAACATTCATTCATTCATCTTCTAACCGCTTCATCCTCTTGAGGGTCGCGGGGGGGGCTGGAGCCTATCCCAGCTGACATCGGGCGAGAGGCAGGGTACACCCTGGACCCTGGAGATAGAGCCTCCAAAGCACAGAGGAGAAAATCTGTTTCACATGTAGTAGGTGTGTATTGGGCAGTTCGGAGTGGGAAAGGAAAAAAATGAAACGGACAGTTGTATGTGTATATCCTAAACATCAGTAGGGATTTACAGAAACAAAAAATTAAAGATATAGTTATGTACATGACAAAAATCACATGCAAACATGATGCAATTGAGCTCACCTGAATTTTCTGTACTAAAACCTCTCTAATATTCTTCTGCTTCACTTTATCAGAATCATCCTTTGCAGAGTTAATGTTCACATATTGTACTATGATTTGATAGAGGTTTAGAGCTGCAGCTGCATCATTCCAAAGGGATACTCATCCTGAAAATGCTTTTTTTTTTTTTAGGCGATCCTCAAAATGTTTCATTTGTGCCGTATACTGATATTTACACATCTTAACAAATCTCACGTATTCCCTTTACCATGACACCAAAAGTATTCAAATAGACCTTGTGGTTGCAGAGATATACTCATTTCATTATGGGTATGCAATTTTCGAGCAGAGGCCTTTAAAATAGCCTTAGGGTTTTTTAAGGGTGAGAAGCAGAATCTCGAAATTGGTAATATCGCCAATGCCAGAGGGCGCCATCTAAAAAAAAATTAACAATTGCACGTCACTAATATCTAAAGTGAACTGTACATATAGACTGCAGTTAGATATATACATTTGGGTTTAATGACAAATTGGTGGTCTGTACTTTGTATTTATGTCATACAGCAAACCCCTAAAGCCACAAACACAGACACAATTTTGAATGTGTGATTTCAGTTAGGGCGAGTGATGAGTAAATGTATCAAATTACATGACAGTATGTCTAGCTTTATACAGTTTATACCCTCCTTTATTTTGAAGGGCAGATGTTTATTGATGCTTACTTCCTCCCACATACTGTAGCTGAAATGTTTGTTTCCTCTGCACTTACCACATGGGACAAAACCCCACAGAGATTTTGTCATCTAAACACAAATAATGATTTTTTCCCCTTAAACCTAAACAACAAAGGGCTTTTGCCAGAAAACCCTGAAGCCAAACACTTACACTTTGATTGGGTTCAAGGCCTGTAGCAAGTTTTAGAAATACTGAGGCAGAGAATCCAAATTCCTCCTGTGCAACCTTGTCTGCTAAAGAAATGATACACAACAAGAAAACTGATTTTTAATTTCCATAAACCTAATTGTCTAAATGCTGCCTTCAGTAATTATCTACACTGCTTGGAATATCATGTGGAGGTACATATTAAATACTTCCATGTCATCTTTATTTTATTGTTATGCCTAAAAGCAATCACATTTAATATACAATAGAGTGCTCCCAGAAATTAATTAGTATTTTTGCACTCCCAGTTGCCTCGTCTCAAAGTCAAAGACAATTTTTTTAATAGCTTTTTTGTTAGATTTCTGAAATAAGATCTGTGGGTAACACAAGCTGAGGAGACTTTCACGTTTTGTTCGACAACACAAATACATCAGTATATAACCCACTTATGACCTTTAAAGCTTCTATGTGTCTTGAAAAAAGCAGTTGCGAACAAGTGGCTAAACAAGACTACAGAATGTCATCATGCCAAGCCAGGCCAAACACGGCTTTACACTCTTGTTATGGGGCTGACATTAAGGTGTGTGACTGTAGTGTAGTTTAGTGTTAACTTTTTACTTGCAATTGCACTGAAACTGCGATTAATCATAAAAGTGGTGTTCATTTGTGAGGATTATCTTGCTGAATAAGAAGTGTGAGTATCATAAACGTTTGTTTGCCACAGAGCTGATTATCTGCAATAATCCAAAATCCAAAGGAAAATCCAACATATCCAACATTTTGACAAGGGAATCGGTGCGGTGCTAACTTCCGTTCAACAACATCGAAAATTTTATATAGAATGTCATATCATTGAGTCAACGTCTAAACCAATCAGCTGATGAGAGCCTGGAGTTTCCCATCATGCCCTGGGTCTTGCAGTTGGTGGAGAGCAGTTGCAGTGCATGGCTCTTTGTTAAAATCATCAGACATACCTGCAGATTAATTTGAATGAGGCAAAGGCATCTTTAAAAGGATAATCTGAGGGCACTTGGTAATTAGCTGCAGCAGTTTTCTTATTTATAAATTTTCTGATCTGTATCATGATTATTGCAACTATACCTCTATGTTTATGATAGCTGATGATTGAACTTTACAATAATCTAAGTAGCCTAAGCATTAACCACAATTTTCAGTAAAATACCACCACAAAATGATTACAAAGAGCTTTAAAACAACCACAAAGAGACACAAAATGGCAACAAGCTGACAAAATATTATTACAGAGACACAAAATGACTACACAGAGATTTAAAACAACTACAAAGAGATGCAAAACGACTACAAATAGACACAAAATGACTACATAGAGATTTAAAACAACTACAAAGAGATGCAAAACGACTACAAATAGACACAAAATGACTACATAGAGATTTAAAACAACTACAAAGAGATGCAAAACGACTACAAATAGACACAAAATGACTACATAGAGATTTAAAACAACCACAAAGAGATGCAAAATGACTACAGAGAGGCACAAAATTACTACACAGAGAAGCAAAATAACCACAAAGAGACACTAAATGGCTACAAAGACATGCAAAATTACTACAAAGAGAAGTAAAATGAATACAAAGCAATTTAAAACAACCAGGAAGAGACACAAATGATTTCAAAGACTTTTAAAACAACCACAAAGAGACACAAAATGACTAAAAAGAGACACTAAGTGACTACAAAGAGATGCAAAGATGCCCAAACTGACTACAAAGAGACACAAAATGACCACAAAGAGAAGCAAATGAATACAAATAGATTTAAAACCAGAAAGAGACAAAAAAATGACTTTGAAGACATTTAAAACAGCCACAAAGAGACACAAGATGATACAAAGAGACACAAAATGACTACAGACATGCTAACTGACTATAAAGAGATTTAACACAACCACAAAGAGCCAAAAAAATTAGACTTGCAAAATACTACGAAGAGACGCAAAACGACTACAAAGACACACAAAATCGCCACATAAAAATGACTTCAAACAAAGAGACACAAAAATGAATATAAACAGATTTAAAACAACCACAAAAGAAGAAATAAAATGCGCTGCTTTGCTCCTTTGTGTTTCTCCTGCACTGTAGGCTACTGTAGTGTGAAGCCGGTGCAATCTGGAAATCCATGGGTAATAAAAAAAAAATAATTAAATAAACAAACAAAAAACAAACAACTTTTTTTCTTCCTTTAGCCTACGTAAATTGCAGAATCTGTCTTGAGAGATTAAAGCCGGTGAAGGAGACGGTCACGGCAGGATGACAGGTCACACTCCTCTTCTGCTGCCATCCCTTGTGGGAGGGACTAAATCCACTCTGACGTAAAGATAGGAAGCAAGTGAGGGGAGACCATGGGGGAGACCAGTAAGCATGATACAATGCACCCACAGTTGAGGATATGCTGGATTAACACGTACTGGGACCAGGTGCAGGTAAAAATGTCATTGAACAGAAAGTAATGAGACCCTGCATCAAGCTGAGCGGAGGTGAACTCTGTCATGTGAATCCGCTGGGGCTGACTGGAGGTCACATGCAGGACAGATTCTTGTTTGGACTTTTATAGAAGTGAATGGGAGACTGAGTGGATATTTGTACGTATGTGTATACAAAATGCAGTGTGGCCTTATCTTTGCCACCACTACCAAACAGCTCTGTAGTGGTGGGGCTGTGTCGGCCGCAAGCTGACGGAGATAAACAAACTTACAGGAACAAGGAAGTCCCGCTTTAAAGTTTATTAAACATGGAGACGCCTTACGCCGGTTTCTGCTTAACACCACTGTAAACACAATCACGGTAAGTCGCCTCAACAGCAAAAAGCCTGAAGATAGTACATAGCACAATGTAATATAAGTCAACAATAAGCGGTGGTGGACTGTAACAAATTAAAATAATTACATCTACTCAAGTAATGTAGGCACACTCATGCCAAATTCTACATTTCGGAAGAAAATACTGTACTCTTTATTTCACGACACCAATCAGACATTTTCACTTACTAATACTTTACAAATTGAATGTTTGTATACAAAACACGAAAGTGTACGAGTACAGCTGAAACGATTAGTCAATTAATGGATTAACAGAAAATGTATTAGTAAAATGTTGAATATCAAAGTAATTTTCATGCAAAAAAATTCCCAAATGTTTCATGGTTCCAGCTCTACAAATAGGTTTGCAGCTTTTCCTTTGAATAATTTTAATAACTGTATTAGTAATTATTCTGAGGTTTAGATAAAAAAAACCAACACTTTAATTAAATGGTGTGACTTTGCGCTCTGTGTCATTGTGATGAACATTTCTCACTATTGTCACTGTTTTTACAAACCAATCAATCGATTAATGGAGAAAATAATCAGCAGATGAATCCACAATGAACATAATCATTAGTTAATAGTTCAAACTGAGCTCCACCTCAACCTACTACAACAGTAAAATCCTGCTATTACAATAATGCGTGAATCAGAATCATCTAATGAGATCAGATATAATTGTATATGTTACTTATTACACTTACAGACTTTTACTGAAAGAACATTTTCAGAATGCAGGACTTTTACTTGTGATATAGTATTTTTACTGTGTGGTATTAGTACTTTTATTTAGGTAAAGGCTCTGAATACTTCTTTAATATATATCCTGAATATTCCACTACTGCCAATAAGTAACAAAATAAACCTGAAAACAAGATGATAGGTTGTACGTGTACACTGTTTGCATCTGTGAATGAAGAACTTGACCAAAAACCCAAAACACTTTTAATGAGGAATTTCACATCGGTCATTATTCTTCCTAATAGACATTTTCCAATATAAGAATGGTCTAATGTCAATTTTACCTCAAAGACACCACAGCTTTGTAATACTTAGAACAAACAAGTCTCTAGAAAGACTGAAAGACTGAACAAGTATTTCATTAAAAGTGTATATTAACTTTAAGTCTTGACATTGTTTTACAATTCAACTTGTTAGGACGTTTATGAAGGACAGGGTATGATTTTTTTCTTCCTGATTTTAAAAGTAACAAAACCACCAAAGAAACAAGAAAGAATTTGGACAACATATTTTCAGTCATCTATTTCTGATAGTAGTATATATACAAGCAATTTGTTTTTTAAGTCTTTGAATAGAATAGAATAGAATAGAATAGAATAGAATAGAAAGAACTTTATTAATTAATTCACCTTGTAAAGATAATGCAGGAATAAATAGTACTGGAAATTTCCGTCCTTCATGTTTTACTTCGATTACATATGTGAAGTAAATGGGTATACTTTGAGGAGAAAAGTTATGTTTCTATGAACAATAGTTTCCTGAACTGAAGAACCTGTTGATTGAGGAACAGTGTGTGGGTAACTTCAAAAGCTTGAGAGAACCTTTATCCAATTATCTTTATAAAATAATGCATTGTGAATTGCATGCTGCATTAGTTTTTCCTGTTTGATACTGAACTCTCTTAAAGGACTGTAAAACTCTATTACTCTTTTGTCTGCTTGTTTTTCCAGGGCTAAGAAAGAGGTGAAAAAACTGAAGCCAACAACAAGAGAGGATTAGAAAAAAATCTTTTTAACAGCATGATAAAAATCAATTCAAAATCAATGTGGCACCTTGGCACCAACGAATTTACAACTTCTACACTAAGAAAGCTGCTATTCACAAAAGGAGGAAGCATAGAAGAAACTTTTCACTACCTATGTGTATCCGTCTGGCCTTCTGTGTACAGATATCCTTTATTTCCCGTCTTTTTCAATGCTGCCACCAGAAGATATAATGAAGAGACAATCGAATATTGTAAAGATGAGTCTGCCACAGACGGGTTTCCGTTAGAGGCCTCCCAGGCGTTTGGTCGTCATTTACGTTTGGCAGCTGATGAATTATGGCATGGAAAGATAAAGTATGTTCGCCAGCCATCTTACACTTCAAACTTGGTAATGCACTTTAAGGCCATCATTCCTTCTGCTGCTGGCTTTTTACTCAATACCTTTTGTACAAATGGTTGGATTTACTTTTATGCCCTGAACAAAAAAAACTTTAGGCTTTATGTTAGGTCTGAGCAAAGCTCAGTCACAAACACCCTGCCAGCCCATTCTCACCTCCTACAATCCCCAGAATGCTTTCAGAGAAGAAGAGACTCTAGCTGCCTGCCTCGTTCTCACAGCCTGCCTTCACTGAGTCAGATAACGTCTGCAAAGAACAAGAGCTTAACACGAGCTGAAAGCTTACCTGACATGCTGTTAACAAACAGCTTTGAGGAGTTTACACCTGAAATGACTGCTGATGAAAACGATGAAACCTACAGGTTCCAGTGCTCCTGCCCAGGCCTGTACCAGTGCAGTGTGACAGGCCTGGTGTTTCACATGGAGGGAGAAGGGGACGTGGTTTACAGGATTGTCCCTTGGAACAGGAGGCTACTGGCCCAGCATCACAAGAAGCCTGCAGGACCCCTGTTTGACATCAACTGTCTGCAGCAGTCTGTGTGTCAGCTTCATCTCCCACACTGTGAGATCCGCTCCACAGGTGGATGTGATTTCTTGTCAGTTGCTCATGTGAACGATGAGGGCATTGAGTTTATCAGCCCTCACAAGATAACAGAAACTCATGTTATTATAAACATCACAGGGTTTTCTGCTTTCGGTAACGTCATGGATGAAGACTCACCACCTGACCCGGTCCGAGCGCTGGTTCTGCTGTTCTACAGGCCCCCAGTTGATTCTGATCCTGAGTCCCTCCTCAATGTGTTGTTGCTACCAAAGAACGTTTCACTCCGGGATGTGCTGCGCACCAGGAAGAAGTTAGTTGGAGATGAGAGCTACATAGAGACATCCCCACACTGTAAACTGCGTCCAAAGCAGGAATACACTCTGTCCACTTGTCCTGAAGACGACTCAGTTCTAGTTCAACCAACAGAAGCAGAGTTTGACTGCGACAACTATGACAACTACTTCCCATCATTCCAGGTGAGCCTAGAAAAGATCATGAAACACATTAAGCTGTTTTTGAGAAACGCCAACAGCTCCCACAGTGTCTGGGAAAGACGAGTTTGTCTTTCATCCCCTGGAGTAAGAAGGTCCTGTGGGCAGAGCGCTCTGAATCTCCCTCCTAATGAGAGGCTGTTTGCCATACGGAGCAGCTTCATTGATGGGATATCAGGATCTGTTCTCAAAAGTCTGCTGGACAAACTGCTGGAGAAAAAGGTGATAATTGACTCTGAGAGGGAGTCAGCGGACGTGATGCAAAACAACAGAGATAAAGCTCGTTTTGTTATCGACACAGTGAGGAAGAAAGGTGAAGCTGCCAGCTCAGAGATGATTGAGTTCCTCTGTGAGGCTGACCCCTTCCTCTGTGAACATCTTGGGCTGATCTGAAGCTAAATGAACAAGTGATGCATGCAGTTAAAGTTAAACTTATTCTACACTTCTCAGGGCTTCACCTGCACAGATACAGACATTATGAACAGGTACATGTATAGGTTTAGACAACTTGCGGGAAATGTTACCCTAAATGTTGTGATAGAGCTGATTTACTTGACCAAGTCAGTAATTGTTTAAAATGTTAAATGTTCCTTCCTTCATAGCAAACTGTCTGTTCACTGTTCTAAATTAATGTGCCAGCTACATAATACTATCCTTACCTGTTATCTGTTTATAATTAATTTACAACACTGAGAGTAGTCATTCAGTGCCTCATCCCCTGAACAACACAGGAGGGAGACTGTATCAGGTACTACACTGTTCCTCTGAACTTCAGCAATCATTTCACATCCCATCTGCTATTCAACTCGCTACTTTAGGCTGCAGCCAACAGTAACATTTCACATGGCATATTGTTTGGTTGTGAAAATCTTGATATTGATTTGGGGACAGTGACATGACTGGAAAGCTAGCCAGTCTTGTTGTTAAACATACAGTCAGATTATATTTACTGTTTGTCAACTGTATGCACTTTTACTGACTCTAAAGCTTGCTAGCATAATGTTAGCTTTCTTGCTGGGCAAAAGGGCTCCAATAATAATAATAATAATAATAATAATAATAATAGTAACAATGACCACCGTGTATATGTGTGTGTGTGTGTGTGTGTGTGTGTGTGT